TTTTTTCCAAGAAAAACACTACACAAAGATGTTCACAGTCTTACGGATTGGATTTCAACAGGAGAAAGATCATAAATGATTGACTGTTTCTTGTAACCGGTCAGCTCAACCAATCAGCTTTCGTCGAGGTATACTATATGTTGGAGTTGTTTCCCTTTTAATATCGATTACTTTTCGCTGGAGAAATGTCGTCTAGCTAGATCCATACAAACAAGAGTTTGTGTGCATCTGAAATTCGATCGAAGAAATTTCTCTTCACGTACGTAAACTTGTATCTAATGTGAATGAAAACCTGTTGTCTTTTCTCTCGTTCAATAGCTTTGATAGGCTCTCGGAGGCCGTTTTGGGCGATGTTCAGGTCAATGACTCAACCCCCCTATTATATGTCACCCACAACAACTTCCAGAAATCTCTCTCAAGCACCGCCATAGAAAAAGACAACAGGCTAGGCTGTAACACTTTTATTCCCTTTCTTTACAAATTCACTGAAGAAAGATGAATTTCTTCGATTGAATTTTAAATTATTTTTTACTTTTATATTTTTTTATTTTTTATTTTATAACAAGCGAGCGGCACTCTTCGAACTGCTGTGGTAAAACTTGTTTATTGTCCGACGCGTTTCGTCTAACTATCGTAGACTTCTTCAGGGAGTTTTACAAACATACACCAAACACCTGTATCAGTAAAGCCATACTGCCGGCTATTTCGATGGTCACAAACCACAAAAGTTTGGCCGGATTTACGAAAGGTAGCGGGCGAAACTGTGAAATATTTACGCAAGGCGTGAGAAAGTTTTGGGGGTAGTGGAAAGTTTTTGCTTTCGCACTAAAGTGTTGTTAATTTGAAATAACATAATCATTGTGATAAACGCCAAAGACAAAAAACAAGATGACAAGATTTATGACACAAAAATCCGTCAGATTTTAAATATGGTACTAATTCGGTCTCCAACAAACCACCATTTATGGGCTGGCTATATATTTAAAGGTTGGCCTTATGTTTTCAAATCGAACAAAGACGTAGAGAACGAAAGACCTCCTTTGAACATCGCACCTTAATACAGTACACAAAAACCTAAGGTACTCTACGCCAACAACACGAAAATTGCAAT